ATATACCATCGAAGTTGGTGGTCTAGTGGTAAGGCATGCCCGTTTCAGAGTCGTCTTTGACTTTTAAGTGGTTATCAGGTAGAATTTAATTAACGAGTCCCCATGTCTTACTACTTAGGTTTCGGTGGTGGTGTGGTGACGGGCTACTCCAACAAAGGGATATGTAGATATGACTAAACAAACATTCCACATCAGAGGAGACTCTTATGGTCACGTCCAGAGAGAGTCGTTATTTGTTGATCGTCCTTTTTCCCTATTCGTTGATAAAATAAAATGTAGAATACGAGTAATACAATAATGATCTTTCAAGTATAAGTTTTGTAGCGCATTAGTCCCCATATGTTTTTGCTTGTGCTTTAGTCTATGAAGTTTTAAATCCGTGTCATTTTAATTTAATAAAACATGAAGGTTTAAATTGATTAACCGAAGTGGTTGGATGACTACAATCGAGGGATTACTTGGATGTCTCGTATTCTAATGTGTTTGATGGTATATGAAATCTTTTAATTAATATGTTATCACTATATACTTTCCCAATTTTTCAATGTATACTCCTTAATCTCTATATGTTTGCAACAGTCCAAATCATGTGCAATTTTACATGAACTTAGATTATAAACTTGATTAATTATTGTCATTTATCTTATTTTGAGTCCTAATATTTATTATGACACACTATTTATTCAATGATTGTGATCGATGAAATCTATATTATAACTCTAAATAGCATTTTCCTTCTTCACTAGATTTGAAGAAACACGAGAGTATTAGCCGTTTGGTGTTGGGTCGGAACCTGCATTCAGCCATCAAGCAACTTTGTGAGTTAGGTGGGTTTCAACAAAATTTGGGGATTTTTTCCTTTCACATGAAAATTATTATTTTTTAAAGTTAAAGTTACATTTCTTAAAGGTGAAATTATGATCAGAGGCAACTCAAAATAATTTGAGGTCTAAAGCTATAATTTATTTTGAGGCCTTCTTATTTATAGTATTAAAATTTATTCTTTTCATTTTTTGAGTTGTAAAAGTATAAATTGAGTTTTTATATTTAAATTTTGTAAAAGTATAAAGTATTCTTATTTTTAGTATTAAAATTTGTTCTTTTCATTTTTTGAGTTGTAAAAGTATAAATTGAGTTTCTATATTTAAATTTTGTTACGAGTGTTTTAGGTATTTTATGATCGATTATGAAATGGTACGATCGATTATAAATATCCTTAATCAATTATAATTTTTTTTTCCTAATGGATCTTTGATACAATAGTACTGCTTATTTTGTGAATATTTTCTCTTCTTAAGATCAAGTGTTCAAAACCCCTTTTTCCCTTCAAAAAAAAATTGTAATTTTTAAAGACTGATCACATTAACTTAAAAAGTTATAAATGATACCAAGAAATTTGTACAAAAATATTCTAAAAAGGTATACATAATGCTACGATTTTAGGAAGTGGGGCTAACCATGCAATCAACGTGGGTATTGAATCTATTGATGTCCTGACACGTGACGCCCTAGTATTGGTTGAACTGTACCACGAGTCATTGTGAAAGTGAACGCAGGAATTGGGGCGAACCATGCAATTATCGTGGATGTTGCTGTACTGATGCGTGATGCCCCGGTTTTGGTTGCCTGTCACTACCACGAGTCATTGTGAAAGTGATAACTGGGCCATCGACAATCGCACACCATTTCTTCTACTTTTCATTTTTTCAATGATTTTTTCAGGTAAATTTATACGTATTTTAATTAATTTTTTTTTTCAGTCCGATCAAATACAGATCATTCACACCAAAATTAAGATGCATGATAAATTCTCTATGACCTAATTTTAAAAAATTATCAACAATTATCAAAATTTAAATTCTAAAATATTTAAATTTATAATTCTTCCGTATCATCACTCGAACTAATCTCTATGCCTACAGTCAAAAGTCCATTTCATCCCGCTCATAAAGTCCCTTAGAATAGTCAAAAGACACGAAAAGACAACCTGGATAAAGAGGCTGTATTCAATTCATGGAAAACATTTAAGTCACACATTCTATAGTTTATCACATTTTCAAGAACATCCATTTTATCACTGACGCCTCTTACTGTTAAACCACAATTTTTAAAAAAAAAAAAAAAATTATTTAAAATATCAAAATTATTCCAACATAAACTCTAAATACTTTTACATAAAATTAGAGTTAATTAAATTTTATTTTTGTACATATTAAAATTTAAGCTGATTAAGATTTATTTTTCTACATATTAAAATTTGAACCTATCAAAAATTTTATTTTACATATTAAAATTTGAATCGATTTGAACTTTATCTGAGTTGTTTGCATAGATTAAAATTTATATTTTTTCATATTAAAATTCGTATCAATTAAAATTCATTTCAAGTTGATTAAAATTTATTTTTTTAGTATTAAAATTTGAGTCGATTAAAATTTATATTTTTCTATGTATCAAAATTTAGACCAATTAAAATTTAATATGAGTTGATTAAAATTTGATTAGAGCTGATTAAAAATTAATTTTAATTGGCTCGAACACAATTTTAATTAGTTCAAATTTTATTAGGTAAAAAATAATAATTTTTAATTGACTCAAATTTTAATACGTAAAAATTAAATTTTATTCAACTCGAATCGAGTTTTAATCGGACCGAATTTTGATACGTAAAAAAATTTAAAAAATAGAGTGGGTCTCATTAAAGATATGCCTATCTAAAGCATATGTCAATAAATTTTTTCTAAAAATATATCATGAGCAATTTAGTAAAATTATATTCTAGTTAAATCTCATTTTTTCCCCGGAAAGGTACAAACAAATTTAGTTTGTCCCTGAATGATTAATTTTTCCACATTACCCCTTAAAGAATCAAAAACGTTGCAATATAGTTCACTATTTTATTTTTGTTTAATTTTTCGTCTGTTTTTCTACAAAATCAATCAACCATGAATTACAAAACAGAAAAAAAAAAAAAAAAAAGTATGCATGCCACCTGCCATACAAAAATAAAATTTCCCACCAGCCACATGGTTCTTGCTTAGTCCTATTTTTCATTTTTTTTTTTGAAATCTATATGCATCTAATTTTTGGAGCTGTGATTCATTTCTTTCCCTCAATTAACTTTGCTAGTCTAGAGGAAGCGAATTGAAATTTGTGCGTGATGATTTTTACACAATAGTTGAAGTTGGAACAGATTTCTCCCACGATGAACTATGGTTCGTCAAGATAGTAATTTAGACGGAACAGGAATAGGTTCAGCGGGACAAAGGGAGCCAGGGTGGTAATGAAGGTTTTGCTTTCAGGATGTCTGATCGCCTCTGGCTGAGATTTGACCCATTTGAACGTAAGTTCCGACGACAAGAAATAGGTTGAGAGGGACAAAGGGGCCCTAAAGACTGATGATGAATTATTTGTTGGGTTACTTGATCGGTCCTGGAAGACTACAGGGGGATCCTGTGATACAGAAAAACAAGTTAGAAGGGTGCCGAAGTATTTTTCAACATATCCCCTTCGACGATCAAATCAGTTTTTTGAGAGTGAGGAAGAAAAAAACATTGTATGGCTCTTTTGAGAAGTTCTTACATACTTTTGTATTTTTGAGATCTATTTATACCTTCAAAAGCTCATGATTGCTGATAGTCCATCCAGTAGGTATTTGTGGGCAATATGTCCCTCACTTTTATGGGGAATAGGCTTTGCTTTAACTGATCGGGATACCGAGTACTAAATGCTCACTCCTCGGTCTGTCGAGCATTCAATTTTCCTTTTCTCAGTGAGGATGCATTAAATGCTCAGGTATGAGAGTTTTTAATGCACTTCACTTCTTGGCCCCCATACCTTAATTGCTGTCTCATCAAGAGGATGATTCATTAAATGCTTATTTGCTCTAGTCATGTGTCAGTAGGGGTATTTAGGTCTTTTTGCTACTGATTTGATATCACATTCCACGCGTCCACTTTTTCTTGGTTGTTTGTCTTGCATTCCTGCGCTTTTTGACACCATGAAGCAGAGCGTCTTCATAATGGCTAGCCTAGCTTGGCCTAGGCTAGTCATCTGTCAATTATTAACTTTTATAGAAATAAGAGAGATGGGATCCAGCGTGTAGAAGGAACACCTCGGTGCCGAGAGATAGTTGCCTACCTCGGGGTAGAGGGTTTTCACCGAGCCGAGGGTATATGTGTCAGTTACACCATTTGGGGGGTCCCTCGGCTCCAAGCTTTATCGCCTCGGCAGAAGGGGGTGAGCAATGCCGAGGACACGTGATCATGCCTTAGTGGGAATATAATGATACCGAGAACATGTGTCACCGATCTATCTCCTTCCATAAATGTCCCATCAAAATTTAATAAAATCAGAGAGAGAAATACTCAAATAGAAATCCCGGAGGCTGAATCGTGCTGCTAACTGAAAAATTGCTATAATAACGAAATTTTTATAAACCAGTAAAAGAGGCAACTCCTACATAAGACTCTATATCTATAACACAAAAATAAGTTTTAGGCAATGTTATCCCTCTCACATAAAAGTATACCATAATTATTCTTTAAAATTTGTAGTTTTTTTTTCCTAGTTTAACGTTGAGGGATATTTAAGTCAATTTACGTGCACTTCGACTAATTTTCTCTCAAATTTAGTCAAAAATAGATCATCTATATTGAGACTAGAATATTCATAACAGATAAATTTCTCATTATATGATCTCAAGAAATTGTCAAAATTCGAATTCAACACATCTGTAATTTACGGCTCATTTCTATTATCACAAGAGGTACCTATAGTTAATATATATATATAAAAGTATGTATGTATGGACAAAAATGAAAAGTTCTAAATTGGAAATGGAAAAAAATGAGTCAAAAAGACACTCCTGACCCAGCCCGTCTATTCCCTGAGAAATGAATGGTAGTGGATGACCATAACCATTCTTCTCNTATATAAAAGTATGTATGTATGGACAAAAATGAAAAGTTCTAAATTGGAAATGGGAAAAAATGAGTCAAAAAGACACTCCTGACCCAGCCCGTCTATTCTCTGAGAAATGAATGGTAGTGGATGACCATAACCATTTCTCTCTCTCTCTCTCTTTCTCATTCCTGTGAGAACGAACATGTCGAAGCAAACATACCGAGTGTGCTTATGTTTTCAAAGAAAGTTCAAGCTAACTGTGGCTGAAGCACCGGCGGAGATCAAAGCAATATTCGACCGTTACTCGGAGAATGGAGTCATGACCGTCAATCAATTGCACAAGTTCATGGTGGAGGTTCAGGGAGAGGAGAAAGCCACGGAGGAGGATGCAGAGTCTACAATGGAAACTATCCTCAAAGAGCTCAAACACCTTCATCTCTTCCACCGCAAAAGCCTCAACCTCGAAGCCTTCTTTCGCTACCTCTTTAGTGACACTAATCCTCTTATCCATCTTTCTAAGGTATAACTTTATTAATTGATACTCGTGTGTACCTAAGAATCAATAGAATATATATAGGAGGATTATAGTTACTCAACTTTATGAATCGGTACTTGTTCTGAAACGTACTCACATCTCGCCCCGATCCTACTGATTTTGGCATCTGTTGGATGGCTCCCCCACTATTGAACAACCATCTAACTCTAGATCCAAAAGTTCAAGTTATTATCTAGGAAAGATAAAAAGTAAAAAAAATGGAAAATAAAAAATATGCATTTTTTATCTTTTAAGAAAGAATGGTATATATATATATATATTTTTTTTTTATTTTTTTTTTGTATCTGGTAGAATGTATAAAAAATAAAAAAAATTAATTTTTTTTGGTACTTTGTGTTTGGTAAAATGGTAAAAATAAAAAAAAAAGTATAAATCAAATATCTATATTTCAACGCACGGGTAGCTGACACATCTGAAGCCACTGTCGGGCCAGACTAGAATGCACAGGGAACCACAACCTTAGTAGCCTCCACAGTACTGGAAGGTAGGGTCCGTGGTTTTGATGCTAATTGTAACGCCCGAAAACCCATATTTGTACACTATTGTCCATTTTGGAACTGTTCGATTTTGGAATGTGTTGTACGATAGAGGTACATAAATGTTGGATTGGATGATCACAAAAGCTCTAGCCTTTGTCATATGAATTTTCATGGTATGTACGCCTTGTGTTAATTGAGATGATTTATTTGAGCCCAGTTTAAGTAGTGTTTGATTTAATTTTAATTTGTATTTTAAACGAATTAAATTTAAATAATTTTTAAAATTTATTTAAAAAAATGAGTTTAAAAGACTTGAGATCATTTTTTAAACAAGTTGAAGTTGAACAAAACTCGACAAGTTTAAACTGAAACTTATAAAGTTCAACTCAATTAATACCTTGTGTCTGCGGCATGGGGCATTAAAGAAATTTATGACAATTAGAGATGGACCGGAGAGGCACAAATAAGCTTCTGTAGCCTGCTTTTCGATTCAAAAGAAGTATTGTTAAGTTGACTACTCGTAAACAAGCTGATCTATCTCTTCAATTGCAGGTCTACCATGATATGAATGCCCCTTTGTCCCATTATTTCATTTATACAGGCCATAATTCCTATCTTACTGGCAACCAACTGAGTAGTGACTGTAGTGATATCCCCATCGTAGAAGCACTCAAGAGAGGTGTAAGAGTTATTGAACTGGATATGTGGCCAAACTCCACCAAAGACAACGTGGATGTTCTTCATGGAAGGTATGGAGTTAGTTTGATCTATTGCAGTGTTACTCGATCTTGGATCCATCTTTCATAAATTCGGGTTTGTTTCTATAATTCAATCTAGGATTAATTACACCGGACGTCTCAAAAATATGAAGTTTGTTTCATTTTGCTCCCCAATATTTCAATTACATCATTTTGGTCCTTAAAGTATTGAATATGTTTTTATGTGGTCCCTCAAAAAGACAACATCTATATTACTAATAAATCTTTATCATAAATTTGTCACGTGATACTTAAATATGGATTAACAAATAATTTGAATAGTTTTTGATCAAAATTTGCATAGCTTAGGCCCAAAACTGTGTAATTTGGATAGCTCTTTGATCAAAATTTGGTTAAGAGTTACCAAATTTATTTTTTTGCCCATATTTAGATGGTACGGGACAAGTTTATAATCAAAAATTATTAATAATCTAAACGTTGTCCGTTTGAAAGACAACGTAAAAACATATTTCATATTCAGAGATCAAAATAATGCAATTAAAATATTGAGGGTCAAAATAAGATAAATCTTATTCTTTAGGAACCTCTAGTGCAATTAACCATTCAATCTATTGGGCTGACCATTGGGACAAATACTTAGATCCAAAGATAATCAGGATTTTGTGCAAATGGTATAGTAAAGTTCTTTTTTGTGTAAGTTATCTGAAGAAAAAAGCGGCACTTGGAATTTGATTATAGTGATAATAACACAACAGATTCGAGGATGGCATAGGCACCCTGCATCAGCTTCAAGTTGATTCACTAAACTACAACTGCATCTTATGCAGGGTATCATGAATAAGAAACGGGATTAAACAACAAAAATTTTAACTTATTGATTATCATAATAATACCAGATTAAAATCATCAAGAGCCTTGTTGATTCATGAAGGATATCAAGTTAATTGGAAGAAAAAAGAGAATTCGTCTCTCAGTTTATTTCAAATAATCAAAGGCTGCTGAATCAGTTTTATTAATACAATATAAATATGAAACCCTAAAAATCTTAAATTACTAAAAAAATAAAGCAAATAAGTAATATTATGAAAATATCCCAAACAACAAGATAAAATATAAAAGTGCCTAAAGGGTGCCATAAATGTCGTTTTTTGGCCTAAAAACGACGAGTTGAAAGATATAATTTCAATCTCGGTTAGATTGTCGAGAGCTTTTCGGAATGGGTTCTACTAGAATTTTTTGATATTATCGTCCAAAATTAGTCCAGATTGGCGCTCGATTAACGTTGCTTTCGACAGTCTTAATCTATCATGTGGTTCTTTGCTATAAGTGCTGCATCAGTATCGGAGAAACTATAATTTCTTGGTTCGAAATGAAAAATTAATTTATATCTATCAATCAGTGCTGACTGTTTTTGAAGGATAATTATGCTTTAGTTGCTCTATGTATGTACACACAGATTAGTTTTCTCTATGTTTGCAGGACACTAACAACTCCAGTAGAGCTCATCAAGTGTTTAAGATCAATTAGAGAATATGCTTTTGTTGCATCCGAGTATCCTGTGATAATAACTCTAGAAGACCATCTTCCTCCAAATCTTCAGGCTAAAGTGGCCGAGGTGAGTTTATGTTTCAATTGATTTATTTAGAGTAAATTATACTTTAGACTCTGAACTAATATCTTTGTTTCACTTTGTACTTTTAAATATAAAATTTTTCATATTGCACCCTCAAGTATTAATTTTATTTTATATCACTCCAATAAATAACAACACTAAGGCAGGAAAACCCTAAATAACTTCTCGTCAAGTGCCTAAAACTACTTTATTTTATCTCTTTTGCAACAAAATGGTTGCTAGGAAGAAAAAAGTCGGTCAGAGGAAGAAAATTTGGAGTTTAGGAAGGGCAAAGTCATGGATAAATATTTTTCTTGATTTTTGACTTGCACATGTGCAATGGGCAGTTGCTTATTAACAATATAGACCACTCACATGCGTATTTATTATCAAAAAATTAACAACGATTAACTATTGGAGTGATATGAAATAAAATTGATAATTTAAGGTACAATGTGAGATATTTTGTAGATGAAGGTACAAAATAAAACAAAGATAATAGTTCAAAAGGATAAAATGTAATTTACCCATTTGTTTAAAGGTTTGAAAATTGTCTACAATGTGAGTATATCACACAAAGTTTCATTTCTAGATGGTCACTCAAACCTATGGAGATGTACTGTTTTCCTCTGGATCAGAATGCCTAACAGAATTTCCTTCTCCGGAGTCATTGAAGAGGCGGATTATAATATCAACCAAGCCACCAAAAGAATATCTTGAAAGTAAGACAATTAAGGAGAAGGATAATGGTTCCCACAAGGTGAAGGATTCATATGAGGAAGAAGCATGGGGAAAAGAAGTCTCAGATCTTAAAGCCCAATTTGAAGTCTTTGATGAGGTACCTTATTGTATAAATGGATGGGGCTATTTCCACCCCATAAATCTTCATTCTCACCCATTAAATTATAAATTATATAATTATTAAGTCCACCTCATTCTACATGCACCCTATTAATAACTAAATTTATCTCAATATTCACTTTTAGGGTTTTTTTCTATATCCATTTCACACAGTATATACATAAAAATATACTCAATTGGATTCCACAATGGGTTTCTTTCATATAAATTACTTCAATTGCCATCATTCGATCTCTATCTTTTCTGATCTCATTGTCTAAATAGTATTTTGATTCCTCCCTGCCCTTCTCTTTCTTGCTTTCTTAATCGCTAGTTGAAGGAATTCGTAGCTTCACATGTAATTTCTCAATATATAGAAAGAAATCTCTTAAGATTTTTGTTGTAGGTCGCATCTGATACTAAATTTCTTGAAAAGGAAAAGAAAAAGATCATCAAGTCTCTCTCCTCGAATCACACGGTCTATATATAATTGTTTGTTCAGTTTTAATAAATAATCTAGTTGAATATATTTTGTATAGACTATATGAGATGAGATATAGAAAGAAACCTTAAAAGTAAAGTGGGGCGGGAATAGCCCCACCATTGTATAAATTGCCTTGCACAAAAGTCCAAATGAAGCATATATATTGAATTGTTCTGTAGTATGTACAGCAAGTGTTAACTTAGATTTTGAATTACCATATTGGATTAGAATGACCCAGAGGATGCAGAATATCAAGATGATCATGAGGAACATCGCAGTGAAGAGGTTCAAAACGTGCAGCAGAAACCTGATTCTGAATATAAGCATTTGATTGCAATTCAAGCTGTAAAACTGAAAGGTGGAATCAAAGACTGGCTTACTGTCGATCCTGATAAAGTAATTAGGATCAGCTTGAATGAACAGAAGCTTGAAAAGGCTGTTATAAATCATGGAACAGATATTGNCTCACATGCGTATTTATTATCAAAAAATTAACAACGATTAACTATTGGAGTGATATGAAATAAAATTGATAATTTAAGGTACAATGTGAGATATTTTGTAGATGAAGGTACAAAATAAAACAAAGATAATAGTTCAAAAGGATAAAATGTAATTTACCCATTTGTTTAAAGGTTTGAAAATTGTCTACAATGTGAGTATATCACACAAAGTTTCATTTCTAGATGGTCACTCAAACCTATGGAGATGTACTGTTTTCCTCTGGATCAGAATGCCTAACAGAATTTCCTTCTCCGGAGTCATTGAAGAGGCGGATTATAATATCAACCAAGCCACCAAAAGAATATCTTGAAAGTAAGACAATTAAGGAGAAGGATAATGGTTCCCACAAGGTGAAGGATTCATATGAGGAAGAAGCATGGGGAAAAGAAGTCTCAGATCTTAAAGCCCAATTTGAAGTCTTTGATGAGGTACCTTATTGTATAAATGGATGGGGCTATTTCCACCCCATAAATCTTCATTCTCACCCATTAAATTATAAATTATATAATTATTAAGTCCACCTCATTCTACATGCACCCTATTAATAACTAAATTTATCTCAATATTCACTTTTAGGGTTTTTTTCTATATCCATTTCACACAGTATATACATAAAAATATACTCAATTGGATTCCACAATGGGTTTCTTTCATATAAATTACTTCAATTGCCATCATTCGATCTCTATCTTTTCTGATCTCATTGTCTAAATAGTATTTTGATTCCTCCCTGCCCTTCTCTTTCTTGCTTTCTTAATCGCTAGTTGAAGGAATTCGTAGCTTCACATGTAATTTCTCAATATATAGAAAGAAATCTCTTAAGATTTTTGTTGTAGGTCGCATCTGATACTAAATTTCTTGAAAAGGAAAAGAAAAAGATCATCAAGTCTCTCTCCTCGAATCACACGGTCTATATATAATTGTTTGTTCAGTTTTAATAAATAATCTAGTTGAATATATTTTGTATAGACTATATGAGATGAGATATAGAAAGAAACCTTAAAAGTAAAGTGGGGCGGGAATAGCCCCACCATTGTATAAATTGCCTTGCACAAAAGTCCAAATGAAGCATATATATTGAATTGTTCTGTAGTATGTACAGCAAGTGTTAACTTAGATTTTGAATTACCATATTGGATTAGAATGACCCAGAGGATGCAGAATATCAAGATGATCATGAGGAACATCGCAGTGAAGAGGTTCAAAACGTGCAGCAGAAACCTGATTCTGAATATAAGCATTTGATTGCAATTCAAGCTGTAAAACTGAAAGGTGGAATCAAAGACTGGCTTACTGTCGATCCTGATAAAGTAATTAGGATCAGCTTGAATGAACAGAAGCTTGAAAAGGCTGTTATAAATCATGGAACAGATATTGTCAGGTAGTTATTGAAGTGTTTTTACAGGCTTGTTTTGTTTAGTTTTTTTTTTTTAATCAAAAAAAAAGAGGTGGGAGTAAAGGAGGGCGTTCAGAAACCATTCCGATACTTTTACTACTAGAATTACAAGGCTCTTGACAGCGTCTGCTACTTTTTTCGAAAACAAATTTAACTAGACTAGTATGGTGGTCAATCATCGAGCCCCAATATAGACTCCAAAACTCGAACCTCCAACCTCAAATGAGAAGTTTGACCGATATTCCGCTGGATCACCGCACTCGGTGGTTTGTTTAGTTGTGTTTGATGACAAGTGTAATAGAGTTCTGGTTGACACTTAACTAGAACTCTTAACTATGTCTTGTCTGCTTCTTGAACTGGTGAATGTGTTCTTACAGGTTTACCCAGAGAAACTTGCTGAGGGTATTTCCGAAATCTACACGATTTGACTCATCAAATTATAATCCCATACTTGGGTGGATGCATGGAGCTCAAATGGTAGCATTGAACATGCAGGTTGACTTCCTTATCAATATTAATTTTTTTTTTATATTCCTAACTATTGTTTTAATTATCCGTCAACCCCCTGCATGGTCTGATCTGCATTATTATCATTTGCTCAAAATATCAGGGTATGTTATTTTTAAGGGGAACGATGGATGGGATTAGAGTGTTATTTTTTGTCCTCTCCATCGCTGTGGGTATGAAATACATAATTTAATGTATTTTTTAATCTTATACTATGTTTGGCTTATGAATTTTGCAATTCACGTGAATTCCACGTAAAAGTAGGGAGTGTTAATCGAGTCGAACTTTGTGAGTTTGAGCCCGAGTCTGGCGAGCTTATTTTTTTAAATGAGTTTAAAAATTTGTTCAAGTTCGACTCGTTTAGAACTCGAGTCAAGTCCAAGTAGTTCGATTATTTTACATGTAATTAAGCCGAGTTTTGTAAACTTGAGTCGAACTTTTTAAACTTGTTTTTCTAAACGAGCATAAGAAATTATTTAAATTCTTTAGAACACGTAAAGATTTTATTTTATATAAATTATCTTTAATGCCCTTATCTTGAATTAGAATATTAAGCATTAGAAGGGTTAATACCGTAATTTATTAATCTTATACCATTGATAGTTTTCTATCTCATTTTAATACCATCTCCCATGTGGTATTAGATATACCCATGTAGATGGGTGTAGCACCACTGTTCATACCGAATCGGTATTAGGATCTGAACATTAATACTTTATTAAAACTGGTTAACAAACAAAGTATACGTAGGAACCATGTACTAATAAACACTATCCGGCCACCTCCTTATACCTCACTTATCCCCCAAACAAACACACCCCAACTGTATGTATCGTGGATTGTTGCGTATGGTGTTCTTGCTTCTTATAAAAATTAAACGAAGTCAGGTGGATGATTTCATTCAATGGGGTGTTCTATTACATTTAATTTCTTTTATTAGCTTCTCTGAATTCAGATTTGTATGATCAAGTTGCCATACATTTGACTTACTAAGTATTAGGTTGTTCCCATAACAGGGCTATGGAAGGTCCCTTTGGTTGATGCATGGACTGTTTAGAGCCAATGGAGGTTGTGGTTACGTGAAAAAACCAGACATGTTACTTGAAGTTGGACCTCATAATGAGGTCTTTGACCCCAAAAGGAGTTTAACAGTTAAAAAAACTTTGAAGGTTTGTGAAATGTTACAAGGAATTCTCATTTTGTATCATTGAAGAGCCTCTCCATTAGAATTTAATGGTACTGTGCAGGTGAAAGTATATATGGGGGAAGGCTGGTATATGGATTTCCATCGCACGCACTTTGACTTGTATTCCCCACCAGACTTCTATACAAAGGTAAATGAGATGTATATTATTTCCAAAATGTTTTGCACAAAACATACAAGTGGATTTCTGAGCTAAAAGATTGTATTTGGCTTTGTGTTTACAATGAGTTTGGACGAATGTGATCCTTTTGCCGAGTTCATAACCAAAGGAGATCATGAAAATAGGGGATGCAATTTGGACGGGCTAACTTGAATTTAACCCGAACCCAATTCAAAAAATACAGGAGTTGGGTTGAAGTTTTTTAATACTTGGGTTGAACCTTAGTTGAAAAACATCAACCTGAATTGAATTTGAGTAGTACACGGATTGAGGTCTCAGGTTGTTAGGTTCAAGTCGACTATATAAATCGAGTTCAACTCAAATCTATATTTGTGGTCAACCCGAATATTAAATCGGCTCAAACCGAATATTATGATCAAACATTGAGTCCATTATGTTTTTTTTATGTAAATTTGGCTATTATGTCTTTATATTAAGAAAAGTGTAGTTTAATTTTTATTCGGCATATTTTTTTATACTTTAAATACTATGTTGTTTATGTTAAACATTTAATTGAAGTTATTAGTTGTTTGTTGTTATTTCAGGCGAATATTATGTAGTATCAAGTATGTACTATATTTAGAATAACAGATTGATTTCAGATCTGAACAAACTCAACTTGAATGCAAATTCGAAATAAGCCCGAATTGAGTTGGGCAATACTCGGGTTAAGATTGGGTTAGAGTTAGGGTTGGATTTTATACTTAGGATGAGACTAGAGTTAACCTCTCAACCCATCCAAATTGCACAACTTTAAATACTATAGTGTTTATGTTAAACATTTAATTGAAGTTATTAGTTGTTTGTTGTTATTTCAGACGAATATTATGTAGTATCAAGTATGTATTAGATTTAGAACAACAAATTGATTTTGGATCTGAACAAACTCAACTTGAATGCAAATCCGAAATAAGCCCGAATTGAGTTGGGCAATACTCAGGTTAAGATTGGGTTAGAGTTAGGGTTGAAGATTTTATACTTAGGATAAGACTAGAGTTGACCTCTCAACCCGTCCAAGTTGCACTCCTAGATGAAATTGGCAACCACAAAAATATATGGTCATATATCTGTATGAGTGAACGATAGATTTATATGCAGGTTGGAATTGCTGGAGTCCCTGCTGATTCAGTGATGAAGAAAACAAAGGCAATAGAAGACAACTGGATACCAACATGGGATGAAGAGTTCGAGTTCCCATTGACTGTTCCAGAGCTGGCATTGCTTCGGATTGAAGTTCATGAGTATGACATGTCAGAGAAGGATGATTTTGGAGGACAAACATGTCTTCCTGTTTCAGAGTTAAGAACTGGAATTCGGGCTGTGCCCCTATACGACGAGAAGGGAGAGAAGTACAAGTCTGTAAAGCTACTCATGCGCTTTGAATTTGTCTGATAGGTGATGCTGTTGTAGACCATCTCTGGTTTAGCTCCTTTATGGTTGGGTGACCAAGTTTCATGGCATATGCTACATGAATTATCATTTGCTTGTAACTAGTTCTTACAAAATTAAGCTATTACACTTCTTGATGTAGGCTATGTAATTGTATGCACATATGTTGTATTCTCCTAGCATTCTGCCTTTTTTTTTTTTTTTTTTACATATGAAGTGAGTCTGCATCACCACCTTTGAGCTTGTTGGTGTAATTGCATAAATTGAGAAGAAAAGTAAATGATATGAAAATAAAATAGGTTGAGATGCAAATATCTCACTCTCTTTAAAGAGATTCAAGCCCTTTGCGGATGGCAAAACTAAATTCGATGCAGCAGACTTTCTCAGTTGACCTGTCTCATCCAGGATACGACAGCTCAACAGTTTCGTTTGATGACACTAACCAACTCTGTACTGGTGGTTAAGTCCAAAGTTTCTTTATAAAAACACATTTCTTTGACCTGAACCCTCAAGTATATGCAGTATGTTATGAAGTGTTGTAATGTATTGGATGATGTTCCAAAGATCTACAAATGCCCAACTTAGGGGTCTTATTTATAGGTTTTGAGAACATTCTAGAGTTCATGCATCTAAGTCATGGATGTATACATAAGTACATGTATGTAGTAATGATCAATTCATGCACATAAGTCATGAACATAGTTTATACATGCATCTAATAAATATGATTAATGTATAAAAGTGAATAAGAGACACATGTATGCATCAAGTTCATGTTCATGTATGTGAGATTGAGATCCTCTCAATTACTTTTTTACACAATTTCACTCAATAGTAGATTACATACAATATGTTCACGTGGGACCCATTCATTATTCATATATGGATCCTTTACTTATATACGATGAGTGATCAACCATTGAATGAAATTGTATGAAAAAAATAATGAAGATGATCTAGATCCATGTATGTGAATTATAAATTCATCTCATAATATCATTCATGCGTAAGAGGTAGTACGATACATGTATACATATATAAATATTAAAATATACCAAACAAACACATTATGCAAATCGAACCACATTATTCTTTTGAAGTTTTTTCTCAAGGAAAATGCAAATGAAATACTCAAGGAAAATGCAGATCTTCATTCACCTTCAAGCTCATTGAAGGGTGTCCGATTCTGTTGGAAAATTCTGAATTATTGTAACAAAGTTCAAACAATTTTTGCACTAAAACGACTTGAGCGCATTTACAAAGTTAAAAAATATGACAACGCCGAGAGTTTGAACATACTGAAAATTGAAGAAACCAAAACGGTATTGGGTCATTTGCAGTTTCTCTTACAACAACATATGATAAATATTGAACTCAAACCCATGGAAATCTTGGTGTGTTTATATGCTCAAAAGCAATACCATTGACAGCTGAATCTGCTTAGTTTGGTGAGCACAAACTGAGAAAGAGACTACCATATTTATTTCATCCGATCAATGTTTAACTTCCCACAGCTTTTAATAGAATGAGCAATTGAAGGAAGTAGTATGAGACACCTCCAATTGTGGCATACTGTAACTTTTCAGTACCTTCAACATCTGGGAAATCACCATCTCCAGCACGATTGAAACCTCCGGCCAACCATCCCAATTTCCGGTATCCTCCCTCGTGTAGCTTTGAAACTGCCATCACGGACCTGCAGGTATAGCAACAAAGCTGCAAATTTAGTCATATTACTTGTGCTGGATGCAGAGGAATCATTTTTGAGAACTGTGCTACAACTTGAGATTGGGATAAAATCACGGAATTGCAACAATCCACTATATAACAAGCAAAATATAGAGGTGAATATTGAGGAGGCTGCCATATGCCTCATCCAACGTGAACTTCAGTCATGTGTCCAATACTCTTAAGTTTTACACAACCTTACAAATCAAATACCATGNTAGGTTTTGAGAACATTCTAGAGTTCATGCATCTAAGTCATGGATGTATACATAAGTACATGTATGTAGTAATGATCAATTCATGCACATAAGTCATGAACATAGTTTATACATGCATCTAATAAATATGATTAATGTATAAAAGTGAATAAGAGACACATGTATGCATCAAGTTCATGTTCATGTATGTGAGATTGAGATCCTCTCAATTACTTTTTTACACAATTTCACTCAATAGTAGATTACATACAATATGTTCACGTGGGACCCATTCATTATTCATATATGGATCCTTTACTTATATACGATGAGTGATCAACCATTGAATGAAATTGTATGAAAAAAATAATGAAGATGATCTAGATCCATGTATGTGAATTATAAATTCATCTCATAATATCATTCATGCGTAAGAGGTAGTACGATACATGTATACATATATAAATATTAAAATATACCAAACAAACACATTATGCAAATCGAACCACATTATTCTTTTGAAGTTTTTTCTCAAGGAAAATGCAAATGAAATACTCAAGGAAAATGCAGATCTTCATTCACCTTCAAGCTCATTGAAGGGTGTCCGATTCTGTTGGAAAATTCTGAATTATTGTAACAAAGTTCAAACAATTTTTGCACTAAAACGACTTGAGCGCATTTACAAAGTTAAAAAATATGACAACGCCGAGAGTTTGAACATACTGAAAATTGAAGAAACCAAAACGGTATTGGGTCATTTGCAGTTTCTCTTACAACAACATATGATAAATATTGAACTCAAACCCATGGAAATCTTGGTGTGTTTATATGCTCAAAAGCAATACCATTGACAGCTGAATCTGCTTAGTTTGGTGAGCACAAACTGAGAAAGAGACTACCATATTTATTTCATCCGATCAATGTTTAACTTCCCACAGCTTTTAATAGAATGAGCAATTGAAGGAAGTAGTATGAGACACCTCCAATTGTGGCATACTGTAACTTTTCAGTACCTTCAACATCTGGGAAATCACCATCTCCAGCACGATTGAAACCTCCGGCCAACCATCCCAATTTCCGGTATCCTCCCTCGTGTAGCTTTGAAACTGCCATCACGGACCTGCAGGTATAGCAACAAAGCTGCAAATTTAGTCATATTACTTGTGCTGGATGCAGAGGAATCATTTTTGAGAACTGTGCTACAACTTGAGATTGGGATAAAATCACGGAATTGCAACAATCCACTATATAACAAGCAAAATATAGAGGTGAATATTGAGGAGGCTGCCATATGCCTCATCCAACGTGAACTTCAGTCATGTGTCCAATACTCTTAAGTTTTACACAACCTTACAAATCAAATACCATGATGAACAGAACTCTTATTCTCATAAAAGCTCTAATAAAGGTTTTTTTTTTTTTTTTTGGGCTTCCAAAGCTTTTCCAGACCTTTTCAATATAGACACGAGCATGAGGATATCATCTGTGATAGCATATGAAAACTAGTGAAAAAAATAATTATTCCCCTGCATTTACCGGTGAGAGTCTCTTGTATACACAATAATGGTTCCTTTCAGACTATAGCTCATTCTTTTCTTTTCTTTTTTGTTTTTTTTATATTCAACGCTCAAAGGTATTCGGATCAACTTATACGTGCACTTCGAACTAATCTCCTCTCCAGTTTGGCCAAATGCAGACCATTCATGCTGAAATTAGGGTATTCATAAGGGATAAATCCCTTCTAAGCTTAAGGGGTTGCCAAGATTCGAATTCAAAAAAATTGAGTTTACAACTAGTCTTTGTTGCCATTTGAGCAACCTCTTAGTGTTATAAGGTAACCAATAATTCGAATTTGAAAAAGGTTGGAGAAAATATTTAACGTAACAGTTACATTACGTCATCACCGTTATACGGTATAATCAACCAATTATGAATAACCATTATGGACTAGTGAATCCCACCAAATTAAGGTTGAAAAAAATATCCAACGTAACAATTACACTGCGTCATTATCATTATATTATCAGTATATGGTATAATTGATCAATAACTTCTAAATTCAAAACTATCATATATGATTACTGAAGTTCACTTATCTTATTTGTTTGTTTAGTATTGGGTAATGTAGCGGTGACATGGTGTAACCATTACATTGATGACCATCGTTAGCTGATTAGTGCCGTAATACATAGACAATTTGGCAAAACATGAGCTTTAAAATTCAAATTGTACCTTAATCCTTCCCCACAAGCAACAAGAAGCTTAGTGTCCTTATCAGGAACCTCTATCTCCACTTGCTGAAGAAAATCGGGGTTTATCATGGTGAAGTTTTGGCCAGTCCAAAGCCCAATGTATCCAAAATGTACCCACTTCTTCAACAGTGTAATGGGACTGCTATCCATGTCTTTGACGAAGAGTGGCACGTGCAGTGACCCTGAAACACGTGCCTTCTCCCACTCCCACTCAGGCCTGATGTCCACCAGTTTGTAGCCTTCGGACTTCATGGCAGAGGTCGCATCCTTCGCCAGTATTGGCCGGACCTCGCCGGACTGTATCAGTTGCTGGGCTTTTCCGGCGACTGCATTGACTTGAAAAGTCGCCGAACGTTGAGGAGTGGCAGAGAGGGGTGGTTTGAGTTGTTTGACATGCTTCAGAGTTGATGTGTGAAGCTGATAATTCAATTGAATTGTCATCTCTCTCTCTCTCACATCCTCTCTCACCCTCTTATCTTCAACTAACTTGTCTTTGCATTTTAGTCCATCCTTGAAGGCAATTTATATATGCCCCCTTGATTTTCATAATTTTACATTTTCATCCTTAAATTTATAAACCTCTGCCCATCGCACCCTAATTTTGCTTTGGTTGATGAATGTCATGCTTTGTTTATTTAGTTATTTATTTTTGAACGGTGGACAGAATCTTTTCATTACAATCTTTCGAGTAGAACATAAAGCTCAACAGGTGGACATCTAATCCAATTATATGGTACCAATGGATATTTGGTTTTTATATTCTTTATCTTATGAAGACTTTACTTTATTGAAGTCAAAGATTCAACTCTCCATTCCTAAAAAAAAAACCCATAAATGGCATACTTTATTTAAAGTAGGTCATTGTGCAAGAATGCTCACATAGGGAAATGAAGTTTTGAGTAAAGTACGTTTGAATTGAACTCATCTATATATAATTAATGTTATTTGTTGAGGGGAAGTCTAAATTAATCATATGAGGAGTGCTTATAAGATTTTTTTTGGGGGAAAATTTGCTTATAAGATTGTTATTTTTTGTTTGAAAAAAAAAATACTTGATCCATGTTGAAATTCATTTGAGCAAGAGATCAACCAAGATGGTAGGCTAGATTTTTGGTTTTGATGATGATGAGCTTTCTTGTTAACAAGTGCTGTCAATGTTGATTAATTCATCACATATTGTTCTCAAAATCCCCAATGCTGGTTTGTATTTTAGACTAAAAAAGTTTTCAATATCTTATGATATCCTTATGGGCTCGTTTGGTTATTGTATTATAAAAGAATGGATTGTCTTAGGTAATACAACATAATTTTGTATAAACAAACAAAATATAAGATTAAATGAGATAAAAATATATTGTAATTTAGTGTTTGATAGGGGCATAATTTAAGAGTGAGATAATGGAATACTAATTATATATTGACCACAAAACTATTAATCTTGTATAGTCATTAATGTATTATTTTATTTGGTGGGTAAAATAGTAAATTTTTAATTTAATACGCTTGAACTGGACTATAATACCACATCCTCATGTGGTATTCTAATTGGATCAATAGTACGAATAGAGTGTATCATTTGGATAAACATTTGAAAAAAAAACTATATGCAATACAAAATGTCTTTTGCAATTGATGGTGCTCGCAATTACTTAGCCCAATTGCAGAACAACGGTTGTGCAAGACCTAGTGGGGGGTATTATGAATATTTTAGGTTAATAAGGAAGTAAGAGATGATGTTGGACCAAAAATAAGATATAAATGGTTCACCTTAACTGAAATTCCAAAACTACATTCATTATAATTGAGACTCTTGCTCCTTGAGGTTTATACTGTTTGAAGGAGAAGATTACAGTGAGTTTCTTGACTTAGAGCCTTTGTATACAATGTCTTGTGAATACAATTTTCTAGAAACTCTCTTATACAGTGAATCCATATTCTATTTATACATGTGACCATCTAGGATTTTCTGCGATTTCTTAATTTCCTTGGCTGATTCTGTGGTCCCCTCTTCTTTTTATCCTGTAGTAATGTCAACTAGCCTGACGCAAGTTGTGCCAACGATTCTCAAAACGGAATGTGTACCAATATTCTTTTTACCAGGTAGTGTTTGTTCGTTAGGGTCACTAGAAATTGTCCCCCAGCCCCCTAGACACATGGTGCGATAGGAGTGGCTTGGGGTATATCGCGTAATGAGCTCCTAATTCTCAAACTGGTCTACTCCGCCGAGCTTGATACGATTGGGCTGTTATATATTGATCTGAATGTCGTTGGACTCCCTTTCTTGGGCTGTGGCCCACTCTTATAGCGAGGTGGGCATGCTACGAATGACATGTTTAGGCTGTCATGTAACTAGGGGTTTTATCGGGTGTTTTGGACTTCGAATGGGTAGCTTAAGCCATAATCCATCATTATCAACAACTAAATAAAGTATAAGATTATATTAAAGAGTTTTAATTTGTTATGATTTTATAATTTATCATTTAATACTGTAACCAAATAACCCCTAAAATTTACAATCAATGCTTTCCTTCGAAAAAACAATGAAAATTTGATATATCAAATTGAAACCCAATTGAAAATTGCAGTGTTTTGTGTTAGTCTTATCGAAAGTCATAAGTTTAAGGTGTTCATATTTATAATATAGAAATCAAATCATAATTATTCTCAACTATAGGGGTAAAAAGTATAATTTACCAAAATTAATGTGACCACTTAGACTCCAGACTCCATAGTCTCCTTTTCGGGCGTTGTGGTCGCGATCCGGCGGAGGGCTATTTCTCTTCGAACACTCTTGTCTCGTGTCTCTCGATATGATACATAAGCTTTGCCCCTCCTAGCTCTCTCTCTCTCTCTCTCTCTTCAAGACAGCCGGTCTCATGAGAGCGATCTGAAGCTCAAGTTAGGGTTTTACAATCACAATGGTGGGAATCACGGCAGCGAATTCGAGAGAGAAGGTCGCGAGTCTGATCAGCGCCGTCAAGTTCGACAAAGACATACCTTCGAAGCTCGACCACTTGCGCCAGCTAAAAGACGAGTTGTCTGACGCCGACACTGTATTACTCTCCGAGTTCCTCTCTCCTCTCCTTGACCTCCACACCGATTCCTTCAGTCCCGTTCGGAAGTTCATCATCGAGTACGCACAATAATTACCATTTGATGCAGAAATTGATGAATTACGCATATCATTTTATGCAGAAATTGATGAATGACGTATATATTTAACGAGCGTTGGATAGAACAAGCGCGACATTTAGTTGATGTTTATTATTCACAATTATGGTGTCAATGTGATTTGTTGTTTCAGCGATACGCCATTTGATATTACTGTGTCGAGTTTGGTGAATTTCATTCCGTTGTTGGAAGAATGAGAGAAGTGAAATGAAATGCTCCAGAAACATAGCTTCCCCACCTCCTAAAAAAAAAGAAAAAAATTTCAGACCATACACCCACACCCCATAGGTATACAGGTATATGATTTTTCAGAACAGCGTAGGCACTATAACTAGTTCATGTTCCGTTTTTTTTACAGTATTTATGGAATTGCATTTCAATTGCATTTTTTTTATTGTATCAGACCCTCCCTAGATATGGTTGGAGCCTTGTGCATTAGGTTACCCTTTATGGAATTGCTTGTGTAGAGTTACATATTTTATTGCATTGTGTTCAGCCTGGCTTCCAGTGCCCCGCTTCTGTTTTTTAACCTTGAGTTTGGTTTGTGGGAAGGAATTAAAGGCATGACAAGAAATGCTCGAGAAAGAAGGCATCCTTTTTCCTTTTTACTGTTTTCTTTTGTAATTTTTCTCAGTTTTTTAAGAACCAAACGGAGACTTGATAAAGGCTCTCTGTGTTTTGCTTTCTTTAGCTTGGGTTTGCTTGTTCAGCTGAGAATGTGGTTTACTATTTGATTTAGTGCGAAACATAATTGTTTTAAATGGCGAGTAGTCACTGATCTCCCTCTCTTCGTGACAAGATCATAGACTGTAGTATATATCACGTGGAGGTCTTCAATAGTCTTTTTCTCCTTTCTAGAAAGCAAAGGTAGATCGGAAAGTAATCTTTGACCTTCTCCGTAAAGCAATGACTGTCTAGGACCAAAATGAAAATAGCAATGATCGGCTGTCACTTTTGGGGACTGGTAGTAGCCTGCTCACATATGCTTTATGTGATTTCATGGTTTGGATATTTTGTTTGCTGTTAGGACGTGCCCTTGGTTCATTAATTGTATTAAACTGGAGGAATTGTGTAATAGTTTACACAGTTGGGGCCAAGGATAATTGTAGTCTCTATCATATCAGGGAAGTAGCTTTAATGATGTTCTAGCGAACTGCAGTGTTGCTGAAGAGCTATATGACCATCCCTTTAGAGTCCTTGGGTTTTGTGGCCTGGTGACTGGAGCCAAGGTGAAGCCGCCTACCTTATGCACTACATCGCAGATCAAGTCTCACTCAACTTATTAGTTTTGGCTATTCCAACCTCTTGTCCAAGAAAAGAAGATTGTAGTAAAATGTAAGCCCATTGGGAATTTTATTACCTTTGCTAGCCTTTGTTATGGAAACCATGCTGTCTGGGCCTGTACTAGCTCTCTTTTTTTCCTTTGTTCCTTCATTCGTACCAAATGGGCTCTGTTCTCGCTTGGGCTCATTCCTCTATTCTGCTGACCAGACCATTACATGTGCACTGCCATTGTAAGGGCCTACTTTGACTATTACCATCACATTTCATGATATTTTGCCAATTTAGTTCATATATGGTATTATTTTTTGATCTTAAGTCTTAACTATATCTTTCCTTTTCTTTTGGACATATGGACTCTGCATCAGTTTGTGGTATTTTGTGTAATTTTAAGGGGATATTTGATATGTGATGTTGATCCCAATAATGAAGGGTGCTTGGAAGGGTGAAATGATACAAACCTAACTTCAACATCAGCCGTACGAAGTGGTTGCATTATGTCTTGAAACCTTATTCTAATGTTTGCCAGGCTGAGAGTCACCAGTCCATGAACTAAGATTTCCATGTTTTAAAGAGAGAGTGCAGCTTACGCTAGTTTTCCATTTTTTAAAGAGAAATTGCAGCTTACGTGTTTTGTCCATTATTTCACTGCAGGATAATTGGCCATATTGGATTGAAGCATGTGGAACTCTTACCTGAAATTGTACCTGTGTTGATTATTGTTTTGCGAGATGGTACACCAGCTGTTGCTCGACAAGCCATCACTTGTGGAATTGATTTGTTTCGCTGCACTCTTATAAGAGTTGCAATCCAGGTAAGTTTGTGTATCTTGAATATATTATGTGGATTTGGGATTTCACAGTATCAGTTTGAAGTCAACCTTATTTAAATACTATAGTCATCTGCACAGACTACCTTTATATATCCAGAGTCATATCTATATTTGCCTTTCATCTGGTGCATATCACCTTTCTTGTTAATCTTGCACGGGCTCCATGTGTTTTGGCTTTAAACAGATAAGTTTTCCTTGCAAAAATTAAAAAGAATAAATTTATTGCTCAGCGGTCTCCATTTTTTGGTTGTAGATTTAAAAGTACTTCACCATGGAAGCCATTTTGCTGAACTTTTGATAGCTATAGTTCCAGACTCACTCAACCCCCATAGGAACTGAAGGGGGATAGAGACCATATGGTATTTCTTCCCCAGCTAAACTTGCATTAAGTTGATAGCTTGAACTGTGCGGAATTTCTAAAACTTCACAAAAAAGAGGTCTTCATTGATGTGGCCTGGCCTTTACCGTTGTTGTTAAATCCCAACTTAGTTGTAGATCCCTAGAGAGATTGGATTACATGGTAATGTCTTACTAAAGAGAAGAAATTTTTAGTTATTCCATAGATATAGGTAGCTCACATTGTTCATGCTATTTTCATCTTTTCCGACTCATTTGATGAAATCAGAATTGGTTTATGGGCAAATATTAATTTTTTATGAAGAAAGTCTCTTCTAAATAGAAAAACAGAAACTATATAGATTATAACAGTTCTAGTGGTGTAATAAATAGGGCTTTTTGGTTTTCATTTGTTTATCTAAAATTCTAAATGATTTGAAGTTTATTGTTTCTGCAATGGTGATTTATCTATTGATTGAAAAATTTATTTTATTTTAACAGTGTAGCAGTGTGTATCTAAATTCAGCCATATGTTACTATGCATGACTCTTCATCTCTGAGATACCAAGCTGCGCTACATCCCTCTCTACATTACATCGCTTCATCTCTGAGATACCTGCTTTTGGATATGTTATTTGTTATGCATGACTCTTTGCTATAATTTTCAGGGTTTATACAAAAGTGAGTTGGACGATATACTTGTAACTTCATGGTCATGGGTGCTAAAGTTTAGGGATGAAATATACTCGCTAGCCTTTCACGTGAGCAGTTGATTCTCTCATGAACACTCTTATTGAGATTCTGTTTTTGTTCTAACTCTTTGCAATATGTCTAGAAGCCGGGAATTGACGGGAGAAGGTTACTCGCACTTAAATTCATTGTAGCAGTTATATTTCTTTATACACCTGATCCTACTGGCCCTTCAGAGCCACCAACTGATCAAACCTTTGAAGGTAATGCTACCTAATTTGGCAGTATAGGCCTGAAATGTTGCTATATTTCATTTGTAGATTTGTTATATAATAGGTCTGGAGTGGTTGTTCATGCTTAGAGCATGCTCACCTATTTTGCAGGGATGTTCGAGCAATTCAACATGTCTTGGCTTCGTGGAGGTCATCCGTTACTCAATATTGGAGATCTATCTACTGAAGCGAGTCAAAGTTTGGGTCTACTGCTTAATCAATTAAGGTTCCCAACCGTAAAATCTCTTAGTAACTNTGGAAGCCATTTTGCTGAACTTTTGATAGCTATAGTTCCAGACTCACTCAACCCCCATAGGAACTGAAGGGGGATAGAGACCATATGGTATTTCTTCCCCAGCTAAACTTGCATTAAGTTGATAGCTTGAACTGTGCGGAATTTCTAAAACTTCACAAAAAAGAGGTCTTCATTGATGTGGCCTGGCCTTTACCGTTGTTGTTAAATCCCAACTTAGTTGTAGATCCCTAGAGAGATTGGATTACATGGTAATGTCTTACTAAAGAGAAGAAATTTTTAGTTATTCCATAGATATAGGTAGCTCACATTGTTCATGCTATTTTCATCTTTTCCGACTCATTTGATGAAATCAGAATTGGTTTATGGGCAAATATTAATTTTTTATGAAGAAAGTCTCTTCTAAATAGAAAAACAGAAACTATATAGATTATAACAGTTCTAGTGGTGTAATAAATAGGGCTTTTTGGTTTTCATTTGTTTATCTAAAATTCTAAATGATTTGAAGTTTATTGTTTCTGCAATGGTGATTTATCTATTGATTGAAAAATTTATTTTATTTTAACAGTGTAGCAGTGTGTATCTAAATTCAGCCATATGTTACTATGCATGACTCTTCATCTCTGAGATACCAAGCTGCGCTACATCCCTCTCTACATTACATCGCTTCATCTCTGAGATACCTGCTTTTGGATATGTTATTTGTTATGCATGACTCTTTGCTATAATTTTCAGGGTTTATACAAAAGTGAGTTGGACGATATACTTGTAACTTCATGGTCATGGGTGCTAAAGTTTAGGGATGAAATATACTCGCTAGCCTTTCACGTGAGCAGTTGATTCTCTCATGAACACTCTTATTGAGATTCTGTTTTTGTTCTAACTCTTTGCAATATGTCTAGAAGCCGGGAATTGACGGGAGAAGGTTACTCGCACTTAAATTCATTGTAGCAGTTATATTTCTTTATACACCTGATCCTACTGGCCCTTCAGAGCCACCAACTGATCAAACCTTTGAAGGTAATGCTACCTAATTTGGCAGTATAGGCCTGAAATGTTGCTATATTTCATTTGTAGATTTGTTATATAATAGGTCTGGAGTGGTTGTTCATGCTTAGAGCATGCTCACCTATTTTGCAGGGATGTTCGAGCAATTCAACATGTCTTGGCTTCGTGGAGGTCATCCGTTACTCAATATTGGAGATCTATCTACTGAAGCGAGTCAAAGTTTGGGTCTACTGCTTAATCAATTAAGGTTCCCAACCGTAAAATCTCTTAGTAACTTGATGATTATCGTGCTTATCAATAGGTATGGAGTCTCTCTCTCTCTCTCTCTCTCTCCCCCCTCTCCCCCCCAAAAAAAAAAACACTAATTGCAGTTTTTTGTCATATAATTAAGCTATTAATGCTAGTTACTGGGAATATTTTATTGTTGTCTTTTTTGTTGAATATGCACTTTTGTTCTTCTTGTTTCGCTAGTCTTTCAGCAATAGCAAAGAAAAGGCCCGCTTTTTATGGTCGTATTTTGCCAGTTCTACTTGGCCTGGATCTTTCGAGCACTGTTAGCAAAGGGTTGCATGTTTCAGGGGTGCATCATGCTTTAAAGAATGCATTCCTCTCCTGCTTGAACTGTACACACCCGGGTGCTGCACCGGTATAAAATATATTTTTGTCTTTAAACTTATATGTTTATAGGCGCCTGGTTTCATGAAAATTTTCCCGTCTCATCAATTATTTCAGCCTTTTGATTGCTGCCTCTGTTGTTGTAATTATTCATTTACTTCATGCGCTGACTATTGTTTATTTATCTGTTAATCAACTGCAACATCAAAAACAATAATATTTCCTATGAGCTAGTTTTGTATACTTTTTTTTGGCCCCTTTTTATTCCTCGTGTTTACAAGGGTTGAGTCCCCTTTTTCTTCCACCTTCTAATACTAAGTTATCGTTTTATTTCAGTATTGATATGGAAGGCTTGTTGTGCACATATACAACCGTACTTTTTCATTCAACTCAACTTAACAAGGTCTTGACCTAGTAGTTTTAAAGCATAAGGTTAATCTGTAGTTACACATGGAATGAGTTCGTTGTTAATCATATTCTAGAATACTTCCCCTTTTGCAAACATACAACTCAATTCAGCAAAGTATTGTCCCAACATTGTTAGGGTTGACTACATGAATCCTGTTTCGTTATGGTGCGCTATTATGGGTCATATTGTATGTTAAACTATAAGCTAGGCCTTCGATCACCGTTAATAGCTATGGCATAACTCTTTCCTACTGGTGCAGTATTAGGTCATCTAGACATAAACTTTAACCACTTAAGTTGATTCTTCCTTAATTTATCCCCTTTTGTGTTCTCTCTACTTTTTCATGTTTTCATTTCTAATTCTATCACTCCTAGTTTAACCTTACATCTATCTTACCAGTCTCATTTCCCCCACAATTTTTGAACGTGTTATTTCTTAGTTGTCCAACACTTGGTACCATGACATAAAGGATAGCCAGTCTTATGACTATTTTATAGAGTTTTTCTTTTTTAACTGAAGGGGTATGCTCCTGTCAAACAATATAACTGAGGCTTTTCTCCATTTAGTCCATCATGATTTAATTCTGAGTAACACTGTCACCATTCTCAAACTCCCCTTTTACAAGCATGATGGACCCATCGCATCTTCCCTCACAAACTCAGCCACTTATTTTTTGGATTTTCTTGTCCTTGTGCTTCCTTCAGCTTAAAGTAGACATTTTCTCTAGTGCAACTGTGCAAGTGTTGGTCTTTCCTGCGCTTGGAAACAAATACAAGGACGTTTTCTGATCCCCATTTTTCATTCCTTTGCTTTTAAATTGAGCAGGAAGTTGTACTAATGAAGTCTAGCTGCCCAATATAAAGATTTCTTATCTCAGAGCTCAGCCCTATTTTAGGTTACTATTCTCAGTCCATTCTGTTGGACAAGCTTCTTACCTGTTTGGCGTGGGCCGAATGAATGCTGATATTGTATTTTCCATAACACGGTAATAAAGCAGTAAAATCAGACTATCCCTAATCCATGACCTGAACCAAGACGTTAACAATCAAAGCAAAACGAATTTCATGACTAAAGGAGGAGTTATACTGTAGAACCTTTATTCTTTGAAGAAATACTTTATTACCTTTGTAGCCAAACACATGGCGACTCCATTGGCCTGCAGAAATGGATTAAACAGCTGGTTATATTTTGTGCTATTAAATAAATTATTTTGGCTGTGTGGTGTAAAACCAAGTTTCAGTGTTTTTCTAGGTGTGGTGACCACTCTTTAGGGGGTAGGAGAAACGGATGTGAGCATAAGAGGGTCGTATGACCAAGGATCAAATTTTCGTTTGAGCTTGAAAATGGAAACGTTTCGATAATGTTTCGAAAACATTTCGAAAATAAGATGGAAACAATGAAAAATTTAAAAATTTATTTCCGCAATATTGTTCGAAACATACCGAAACATAGGTCAAAACACCTCAAAACTTACCGAAACACCTCTCAACATCTCGCAACATAAGAATTTTGATATTCAATTAATGATGAAAACCGAAACGTTTCGACTGTTTCGAAACGAAATTTAGTTCATTGATATGGCTGGGAAGAACATTTTGCTTTGTCAAATTCTGTGGTACCTGCATTTGTACTGCCTTTGTTGGCGAGCATGTTAAACTATGTAAGGCTGACGACGAATAAGAAGAAAATAATATGAATGAAAAGGAACCGAGCTCAAATCTTCCAGGGATTTTTGCTCAATACCCAATCCTTGTTCATTCTTGTGTTGTTCAGTTTTGAACTATAAATTGATTGCTATTCTCAGTCACTCTCCTTCTCTCACAGCCCTCTCTCTCTCTCTCTCTCTCTCTCTCTCTCGCTCTCTATGTGTGTGTGTGTTTCACATGAAGGAATTGTGAAATATTCATCAATTTTTAAGTTGTTTTTGAAGTTTCAGCATTTTATCTAGTTTCGGTTGTTTGCTTATGTTAGTTCCTTATACATTCTAGGTTAATAATTGTTGATTGTTAATGTAGGAACTGCCTATATGCCACCAAACAATCTTATCTACCTTGTTGTCGGATATAGAAATGACATGCCTAATGTCATAATGTAGTACGTGATATTTTAAATTGATGGTCTTCTTGATTTCTGCAGTGGCGGGATCGATTAGTTGGTGCGTTGAAGGAATTAAAAATTGGAGGGTTGACAGAAGAAGCCTTTCAGCAATTATTCCAGACAAATGGTAGAGTAGAGTGGAAGGATGATATATCAACCACTCAGGTATGCGCCATCTTGCCATGATACATCGTGAGATCCATTACACATGTATATGTAAACCCAAATATGATTTTTTATTGCACACAGAAACACGAGTATGCTGCAGCTTCTTGATGATCCCTGAACTTTGTACAGGAGGAACAGCCCTTAGCTAAAGCTTACGATGCTGTGCACATTAATGCTGGAAGGAAAAGATCAGGAGTACACGATAATAGTGATCTGGTTGAAGAGGATGATGTGTCTGGAAAACGTGTTAAACCAACACCTATTGTCTCAGAGGCATCATCAGAAGAGTTAACTAGGGATCAGGATGGAGTTCCTTCCAGTGGACTAGCTACTTCCAGAGGAGATGGAAGTGGACTAGCTACTTCCAGAGGAGATGGACATAATGGAACTGTGCAGCAACTTGTTGCTATGTTTGGTGCATTGGTTGCTCAAGGTGAAAAAGCTGTTGGACATCTGGAGATTCTTATTTCTAGCATTTCGGCTGACTTTCTAGCAGAAGTAGTGATGGCTAATATGAGAAATCTTCCTCCAAATCGCCCCACAGCTGAGGGAGACGAAGATCCACAGCTGAACTTGAGTTCTTATCCTGGTTTAGTCGGTAGTGATGCCCATTTTAAACATCTGTCATCGTTGTTGACAGACATTCTTTCGCAGTCCATTGCTTTCCCTCAGGTGGGTTATAGTTTAAATGCTCAACAGTCAACGTCCAATGAGCTTGAGGTGAGTGTCTGTCTTCTTTAAACCCTCAAATAATGCTTTATTTTTTTGACAGTTGTCTTTGTTTAGTACAAGCCATTACACAGTGTTGGTCCTATTCATTTAATAAGTTGGTTAAAACTAGTAATGATAGAATTTGGAATGTGAAAAAGTAGAGGTAGATCAGATAAACTAAGGGAGATTTGACTTAGGTGGTTTGGACATAGTTCTATACTGCCTATTATGGCACCGATGAGAAAAAGTGATGTGATAACTACTGACCGTAAGCAAAGGAGTAGAGGAAGACTATAACTAACTTTAAGTGAAATAGAAAAGAAAGATGTGATAACATATGGTTTAATAGAAAATATGAAGAGCACAATTGCGAAACAGGATTTATGTAGCTGACTCCAAAAATATTGGGATAAAGCTATGTTGAGTTGAGTTTCTTTTTTATTCACTATGCTTCCCACTTTGGTATTGAACTTCATTGAGTTTTTTTTTTTTTTTTGTATATTAACGGTTAAACCTACTGAAAACTGCAGCAGCCTGAAGGAGAGGAGGAACACCCTATGGTGACTCTGGTTGAAGGTGATGTAGCACGCAGTGACCTAAATTATGCAGCTGCAGCTGAACAGGCATTAGTGCCTGCAGGTGTATCTGGTTCTTCATCTGAAGATGTTGCATCTGTCATGGAGGATGGTTGTTCAATCATTCCCTCTGAAGTTGTTGATGTGGGGAATTTAGAGAGTGAGATACCTGGTCTGGTTACATCTTCTCGGAGTGATGGATTGTCAGAAACACTTATTGTTTCCACTGATTTAGAAGATGCCAGCCAAGAGCAAGTCTCTAGTTTAGGCAGGTCACCACTGCAACTGCTTCCATCTATATCAACTGATAGGTCTGAGGAGCTTAGCCCAAAAGCTGCTGTCTCTGATATGACCAGCATTAACTCCTCGATGACAGCTTCTGTTGGTTTATCCACTCAGTTGGTACTACCTAAGATGTCGGCGCCCATTGTTGACCTTACTGATGAAGAGAAGGACCAGTTACAAAAAATGGCTTTTATGCGCATCATTGAAGCTTATAAGCAAGTAGAAGTTGCCGGTGGTTCTGATGTCCGCTTTTCTATACTTGCTGATTTAGGGGCTGAGGTACAAACTCTGAACATATGGATATTCTTTTTTAGTTTTGTAATGCTGGTGATGAAGTGCTTCGTATCATAATCTTCTATTCTGTAATGCAGTTTCCCTTGGATTTAGACCCATGGAAACTACTCCAAACACATATATTGTCGGATTATATAAATCATGAGGTATGTCTATATTCTTTGTTTATATATTTTTGTATAGAGATGGCATGATTCGTTGACTGATCACTTGTCTCTCTACCAGATTGTATTTATGTTCTGTCCTTCCCACCAACAGAAAATTTCTTACGAAAATATTGTAATGTTAAACTAAGAACATCAATTTGGCTTATACATTTCTTGCGCATGCTTGTTTTGCTGCTGGTGTTTGTATGTCTTTTCAATGTGGCAATGTGCTAGCCATGCATTTGAGGTTCTTTAGAGTGACGTATTTCCTTGCTAAAATCTTGTGCATGTTCCACTCTGTGGTGGTGCTAATTTGCTAGTTATTGGATTTTGCTTATTTTTTGAAACGATGGTCATTAACACGTGTTGGAGGACGTTGGCAGTGATATTCAAGATTTGTGTTGTATTTATTCTGCAAGTGCTTATGGGTGGGGTTTCTGCGTTTCTGGTTTTTCTCTTCTCTTTGTTGCCTCAACGTGATTGTGTATGGTTAATATACATAGTTCCTGTCCTTTTTTTTTGTTTCTATTCTGTTATTTTCAATCCCCCCTCTCTTTCCTTCAATTGGATGAAGGCTGTCTTTTATATTGACCTGCTTGGGCTCTGCCCATACTCCATTTGGAAAAAAAACTATTGCTTAGTAAGGGAACGATTATTGGTCTTATTATTTTTTTTCCCTACTTGCTTTTGAATTCAATAGAATGTAACTAATTATTGGTATCTTCAGGGACATGAGTTGACATTGCGTGTCCTCTACAGATTATTTGGTGAGGCAGAAGAAGATCGTGACTTCTTTTCTTCAACAACTGCTACTTCTGCATATGAAATGTTTCTTCAGGCTGTGGTGTGTAGACAATATCCTATTTAGAGTTCACCTTTTGAGAGGAAAATCTTTAGAAGTTTTCTTTTCTTTTGTTATTTTTAAATGCAGGCGGAAACACTTCGAGATTCTTTTCCAGCTTCTGACAAATCTTTAAGTAAATTGCTTGGTGAAGTTCCGTACCTGCCAAAGTCAGTTTTAAAGTTGTTAGAGTGCTTGTGTTCTCCTGGAAGCAGTGACAAAGATGAGAAGGAGTTTCATAGTGGAGATCGAGTTACTCAAGGTCTCAGTGCTGTATGGAGCCTGATTTTACTGAGGCCTCCCATTCGAGAAGTCTGCCTGAAAATTGCTTTGCAGGTTTGCTTCTTTGCAATTTGAACTTTTTTTTTCTGGTTATTCCTATCTACTTATCTACTTGCACTTTATTCTACAGACATCGTTTCTGCGGAGTAACATATTATCTATCAGTCATTGATTTGCTGAACTTTTGATTTTCTTTTCTGTTTTTTTTCTCCTTACCTCTTCCATGTGTCCCTAAAGGAGCTAGATGATGCATGATTCTGTCCTCTTTTTTTTTTGTTGTTGTTGTTGTTGGGGGAGGGTTTGGGTGGTTAGCAAGTTTTAGTTCCAGCATTAAGTGGTAGGTATTCCAACCAGGGCTGGGATTTGAGCTTATGTATGCAGTACAGGTAGGGTCCTCAGTGAACACTGTTACCTAAAAATTTAATGCAGCAAAGGGCAAAATTTTGTCCTCCATTTCTGATTAGAGCACTCAGAAAAATCAATCTGTAATTAGAAATTCATGACAATAGTTCATTGGTACTTGAATGGAACCTATTCCCTTCTTCCATTTTTATATTCTGATAATTATTTTCATTTCTACTTAAAAAAGAGTGCAGTTCATCACTTGGAGGAAGTGCGTATGAAGGCAATACGTCTGGTATGCCATGCAAACCTTTCGTTTAGCTGAATGGAATCAACCTATAGTTGTATTTGAAGTTATAAATTTTGGAGGGCTATCTTTGTAGGTGGCAAACAAGCTTTATCCTTTACCATCAATCTCCCAACAAATTGAAGATTTTGCTAAGGAAATGCTGTTCTCTGCAGCAAATGCTGATCATACTGTGGACACAACTAATGCTGATGGATCTAATGCTGAAATACTGAAGGTATTGTTTTATGACGTAATGATGCGAAGTTAACTCTATGTTTTTTTATGGTCCTTGGAAAATTACTGTTTCTTGCTCTGATTTGAATGGGGTTGATTCAGTTTTTCATTCTTGAGAGCTAAACATAGCATGAGAAAGGTTTTAAGGAAGTCAAGTGAATTCTTCTAGAACAATAGGATTTTGAAAACGGATTTCCAAATTTCATTCTTTTGTTTTCAGATGTAGCAAACTGATTTTGGTTCTAATACAATTAGAATGTCCACCAAATTTGTTGCTGTGTCAGTTTATTGCCACAAGGCAGGAATTTCTATCTTTAAATATTCAGCTATGTGCCGACAATTATTTCATTCCACTTCGCTTTTGTTATACCAATTCTAGGTTATGTTGTAGTCAGGAGACAGGTTAGTTGATCTGAAAGATGCTCAGCAACAATGATATTTTACATCAGGGTGAGGTATAGGACAAATTTGGGTTGACCTCTGACTGATGTCTAATACTTCCTCCATAATTTCTAGTCCCTTTTGGGAATCTAAGTATTTATAGAGACAAGAACTTACTGTATACGCACTTGAGTTGGTAAGTTTAGTTTCCAAAACTACCCTAAAATCTAGAGAATTGCAGCGTTAACCTGTGCAAAACTTTCCAAAATTACTATCCACAGAAGGGAAACTGAGGGAAGTTATTGTAAAGTGAGGATTAACACGATATTAGAGAGAAACGGAGAGTGGTCAAAACTTAACCTACCTTTCACAAAATACTTTGTATTTATAGTTAACTTATAATAATACAAAAGACATATATACCCTCTAATATTTACACACAATACCCCAATACTGTTTAACACTCCCCCTCAAGCTGGATTATATATATCATATAATCCAAGCTTGAAACAAATTGCTGTAAGACGTGTACGGCTCAATGTTTTGGTAAATATATTCGCAAGCTGATTTTCAGATCTCACAAATGGAGTTGTAATCTCTCCATCTACTATCTTGTCTCGAATAAAATGACAATCAACCTCTATATGTTTGGTTCTCTTGTGTAACACTGGATTGACAGCGATATGGATAGCTGTTTGGTTGTCACAGAACAAAAGTAAAGGAAGTTGGATTGAAAATCTAATTTCCTGGAGAAAGTGTAGTAGCCATGTCAACTCACTTGTTGTATGCGCCATTGCTCTATACTCAGCCTTCATTGGATCTCGCAACCACGGGTTGTTTCTTTCTCTTCCATATGACAATGTTACCTCCTGAAAAAGTACAATAACCAGTGGTTGATCTCCGATCAAATTGGAGAGCCAGCCCAATTAACATCTGAGAAACCTTCCACTATAAGGTGTCTATTAGCTCGATACAACAGCCCAAGATCGGGAGCACGTTTAAGATATCGCAAAATATGAGTAACTGCCTCCCAATATGGAACTTTAGGACATCTCATAAACTGACTTACCACAGTAACTGCATAAGATATATCCGGTTGAGTAATAGTGAGATAATTGAGTTTCTCAACCAACCTGTGATACGGACTCGGATTCTCAAACAATGCACCGTCATCCATCAACAATTTTTTATTCATGTCCATAGAAACATCAACTGGTCTGCCACCCAACAAACTGACTTCCTCTAATATGTCAAGTACATATTTCCTTTGGGATAAACAAATATCCTGTTTAGATCGAGCCACCTCAATACCCAAGAAATACTTGAGTTTTTCTAAATTTTTAGTATAAAATCTATCTTGCGGGAAGGTTTTTAACTTGACAATCTCCTCAGAATTATTTTTAGTAATCACAATATCTACATAAACTACCAAAAGAACATAACTAGTATTCTTCTGTCTATGAAACACAGAGTGGTCTGTCTGACAGTAAAAGAGACCAAACTCTAAAACTACATTTGAAAACTTACCAAACCATGCTCTCAGTGACTGTTTCAAACCATACAGAGATTTCTTTAACCGACATACACTCGTACTATACTCTCCCTGAGCAGTAAATTCAGGTGGTTGCTCTATGTATACCTTTTCAATCAAGTCACCATGTAGGAAGACATTCTTGACATTTAACTGAAATAAGGGGCCAATCAAGATTAGAGGCCAGAGAAACCAAGATACGAACATAAGAGATTTTGGCAACAAGAGAGAAAGTCTCCTCATAATTAACACTATAGGTCTGAGTGAAGTCCTTTGCAACAAGGCGGGCTTTGAGACGTTCTACAGAACCATCTGGATGAAATTCAACAGTGACAACCAACAGTTTGTACCAGGGGTAAAGGAATAAGGTTCCAAGTTCCATTATGATGTAACACATTCATTTCCTCCATAGCTTTCCTCCAACCCGAATTAGACAATACATCCTGTAAGTGCTTAGGGATAGAGATAGTAGACAATTGAGAGGTGAAACAAGAGAAGACAGGAGACAATGCATTATATGAAACAAAATGGGCAATAGGATGGTTAGTAACACATGAATGAGTACCTTTCGAAGAGTAATAGGTAAATAATCTAAATTACCTGATGGACCCGGATCTAGAGACGACGAGGAAGATGGTATAGGAATCTCAGTGGATGTACAAGGACGACGAGAGTATACACGAAGTGGTGAAGTAATGGTAGTACAGTAGGTAGTTGAATATCTGATGGTAAGGGAAGAGGTGGTGGTACAAGAGATGGCCTAAAGTCCAAATTCAAAGGCTGAGCAGGTGTCTGAAAATACGGAACAGATTTCTTAAACGTGACATCAACACTAGTAAAGTATCGACGAAGGGAAGGACTATAGTAACGATACCCTTTTTGTGTGTGGGAGTATATCCAAGAAATATACATTTTGTAGCCCGAGGGTCAAGTTTATCGAACCCCGGGCCCAAGTTGTTAACATAACAAACACACCCAAAAACCTTAGGATGTAAAGAAAATAAGAGCTTACCGGGAAAAAGAACAGAATAGGGACTTTGTCCATTTAACATAGAAGAAGGCATACGATTAATAAGGTGACAGCCGACAGGCAGTAAGAACAACATCATTCTAAAAATAATGAGCAACGTTCATATGGAATAACAGTGCATGAGTGACTTCCAACAAATGGCGATTCTTTCTCTCAGCGACACCATTCTGTGGAGATGTGTAAGCACATGAAATCTGATAAATAATACTTTTTTTACTCAGATAAGCTGAAAAGAGATTAGATTCATATTCTCGAGTATTATCCGAACGTAAAATACGAATATTACAACCATACTAGATTTTTATTTTCTTACGAAAGGTCTCAAATATAGAGAACAATTTAGAACGCGCTTTCATAAGAAATAACCAGGTTACACGAGAATAATCATCTATAAATGACACAAAATAAGGATATTTATTAGATAAAGTATTCTTTATTGGACCCCATATATCAAAATAAACTAACTCAAATGGACTAGACACACAATTGACTCTAGACTGAAATAACACACGGTAATGCTTACTAAGCTGACAAGTTTCACATGACATAGACGACATATAACTAAGATTTAAGACTTAGTGCTTCAAATTCTAGAGAGAGGGATAACCAAGACGATAATGTCACTGAAAGGGGGACGATGAGGTCTATAGAGCCTGAGTAGGTGAATCAAAATTTAAGTAATATAGCCCATTAGCTTTATGCCTCGTACCAATCTTCCTCTTCCTTTTGAGATCCTGAAACACAATGAGAGGAATAAAAGGTTATGGAACAATTCAGGGAACGAGTAATCTTGTTAATGGAAAGTAAACTAAAATGAAATTAAGGAACAAATAACACAGAGGATAGGGACATATCAGGACTCAAATGGGTAGTCTCCAAACCTAAAACTTTAGAACAAGTACCATTAGTAAGAGTAACATTGTGTGTAGATGTAGCAGACTGATAAGTAGAAAAGACACCAGACGCACCAGTCATGTGGTTAGACGGGTTAGAATCTATGATCCAGGGACTGCGGGTGGAGGACAATAAGCAAGTGGATGCGATACTTGACTCGACAAAAGTAGCTGTGGAGGAAGATGGACTAGTCTGTTATTGGAATAGGAACTGAGCATACGCCTCTCGTGTAATAGTAACTAATCCAGAGTCAGGTGGAGCGGGTCGAGATACAGAGGCAACAACTAAGGTGTCATCCTGATAGGAAACCTGAGTAGCAACACTAGAAGATTTTTCATGTAAATCCCAACAAAAGTCAACAATGTGTCCTCCACGACTACGATGAGTACAGGAACGAGAGCCATTATGGCCCCCACGATCACCACTACGGCCGCCATCCTCCCCCTACCACCACAATTACCACGGCTACCTCGATTATCATCACAGAGCTGAGCGATCGGTGGAGACGCTGTTATCAATGCCTGACGGAGCACTAGACAAGGTAACACGCTGTAAACGAGGGAAATCCTCAAGTAGAGAAAAAGACTAGAGCCACCCAAAATCTGTAAATGAATAGACTCATATTCAGGCTTCAAACTTGCCAAAAATCGCACGACATTCAAATTCTCATGTTGTTTCTGCCAAACTGCTGCATCAGTAGTAAATGAATGGTAAAGCTTCATCTCCTCACAAACTTCTCGAACATGTGAGTAATAATTTTTAAGACTCAGAGTACCTTGCTCTAGTCAGAAATACTGTTTGCATACCTCATAAGCACAGGTAAAATTTCCTATACTAGAATACATAGTAGCTAAGGGATTTCATATCTCCTTGGCAGTGTCAAGATAGAACAGAGTAGAACTAATACTAGGCTCAATGCTTTTCAATAATAAAGAAATAATTTGAGCGTCCTCTTGTTCTCACTGATCATACCCATGAGTATCTTCCTTGGATTTAGGATCCACAAAATAATTCTTAAATCCTTTGCCTCGAAGAAATACTTGAGCGGATCGGGATCATGTATAATTGGTTCTATTGAGTTTAACAGAAGTCATGAGACTATTGAGAAGAGTCAGAGGAGTAGAGGTAGGTGGCAAAGATTGAGTACGGGAGCTGACATCTTGCTTGGGCTCCATAATAGTGCAACAAATAGCAAACAAGAAGCTATTGCAATGCTGAACCAGAGGAAAAGAAGCTGCTGGAAGATTGTAACGGGGTTGGAGAACCTAGCTGGATCGTTGAACCGGA